GACAGACCCACCCCATACAAAGACTGAACCCCACCCCACACACACAGACTGACCCCCCACACACAGACTGACCCCCCACTCTCATACACACACAGACTGACCCACCCCACACAGACTGACCCTCCACACAAAAACTGAACTCCCCAGCCAACACACAGACTAATCACCACAAACACAGATCCTCCAACACCCATACACACACAGACTGACTCACCCATACACACAGACTGACCCACCCATACACACAGACTGACCCACCACACACAGACTGACCCACACACATACAGAGTGACCCCACATCCATAGACAGACAGACTGACCCCCCACACATGGACTGAACCCTCCAACACACACAGACTGACCCATACACACACAAAAGACTGACCACCCCACACCCAAACACGCACAGACTGACCCCCACACCCATACACACACAGACTGACCCACCCCACACAGACTGACCCCCTCACACAAACTGACTAATCCCCATACACACAGGTCCCCCAACACCCATACACACACAAACTGACCCACCCACCCAAACTGAACCCCCCACCCAGACACACAGACTAATCCCCACACACAAAGATCCCCCAACACCCATACACACACAGACTGACCCACCCACACACACACACACAGACTGACCCATCCACACACACAGACTGACCCATTCACACACAAAGACTGACCACCTCACACCCAAACACACACAGACTGACCCCCCCACACACAGACTGATCCCCCACACCCATACACACACAGACTGACCCACCCCACACAGAATGACCCCCCACACAAACTGACTAATCCCCATACACACATATACACACAGACTGACCCATACACACACAAACTGACCCACCCACACAAACTGAACCCCCCACCCAGACAGACAGACTAATCCCCACACACACAGATCCTCCAACACCCATGCATACACAGACTGACCCACCCACACAAAGAGACTGACCCCTCCCACACACAGACTGACCCCACCATACACCCATACACACAGAGACTGACCCATACACACACAGACAGACCAACCCACACAAAGACTGAACCCCACCCCCCACACACAGGCTGATACACACACAGACTGACCCCCCCACACCCATTCACACACAGACTGACCCCCCCACATAGAGACTGACCCCACACCACACAGACTGACCCCCCACACACAAACTGAACTCCCCACCCTGACACATAGACTAATCCCCACACACACAGATCACTCAACACCCATACATACACAGACTGACCCACCCCACACAGACTGAACCCCCCACCCCCACACAGACAGATTCCCCCCACACAGACTGACTCCACCATACACCCATACACGCACAGACTGACACATACACACACAGACGGACCCACCCCATACAAAGACTGAACCCCACCCCACACACACAGGCTGATCCAATCACACACAGACTGACCCCCACACACCCAAACACACACAGATTGACCCCCACACGCACAGACTGACCCCCAACCCCATACACACACAGACTGACCCACCCCACACAGACTGACCCCCACACACAAACTGAACTCCCCACCCAACACACAGACTAATCCCCACACACGCAGATCCTCCAACACCCATACACACAGACTGACCCACCACACACAGACTGACCCACACACATACAGACTGACCCACATCCATAGACACACAGACTGACCCCCCGCACATGGACTGACCCTCCCACACACAGACTGACCCCCACATGGACTGACCCCTCCACACACACAGACTGACCCATACACACACAAAGACTGACCACCCCACACCCAAACACGCACAGACTGACCCCACACACAGACACTGATCCCCCACACCCATACACACACAGACTGACCCACCCCACACAGACTCACCCCCCTACACAAACTGACTAATCCCAATACACACAGGTCTCCCACCACCCATACACACACAGACTGACCTATACACACACAAACTGACCCACCCACCCAAACTGAACCCCCACCCAGACACACACAGACTAATCCCCACACAGACTGATCCCCCCACACCCATACACACACAGACTGACCCACCCACACACACAGACTGACGCACCCACCCACCCACACACACAGACTGACCCACCCCCACACACAGACTAACCCATACACACACACAGACTGACCCACCCACCCCCAACCACAGACTGACCCAAACACATACAAACTGACTCCCACATGCATGGACTGACCCCTCCCACACACACAGACTGACCCATACACACAAATTGACTTACACACACACAGACAGACTGAACCCCCACCCCCACACACAGACTGATCCATATACACACAGACTGACCCCCCACACCCATACACACACAGACTGACCCCCCACACACAAACTGAACTCCCCACCCTGACACACAGACTAATCCCCACACACACAGATCCCCCAACACCCACCCCACACAGACTGAACCCCCCACCCCGACACAGACTGATTCCCCCCACACAGACTGACCCCACCATACACCCATACACGCACAGACTGACACATACACACACAGACGGACCCACCCCATTCAAAGATTGAATCCCACCCCACACACACAGGCTGAT